AATGCTCTCCGACGTAAACCAGAGCAGAGGCCAAAACAGAACAAGTACAGATGGGACTGTTCATTTTATAAAAAAATTAGAGTTTAATCTAACTGAAAGGGGAGTTTAATCAGTTGAATTAATCTATTCAAAAAGAAAATGATGTGTGCTTGTCAATATCAGTAAAATGAAATGGACTATAACTTTAATACTACAGCAAAAAACAAAAATAAAAAATATCACATTTAATTTGTAGTAATTAGGTAGCTCAGCGAGGCCTTCATTAATTTCCACAAAGACATCATGATATAAGAATATTGACAAAGTGACATTCTGATATGTATTAAAATCTCAGATTCTTGCTTTAATCAAGCTTTATTGACCAAACCAATAATACTCTCGTTTTTTTTTTTTCTCCTGCTGCCCCTCACCTCCGACCTCTGACCCGCTCAGGATAACCTCAGGGTCACTCTGGTTTATGATCACATAATCGTTGAGCATTTCCCACCTGCACTCCACTCTCACATATCTCGACATTCTTATGCACAACCAGCTGGAGGATGTGTCCTTCAGCGATCAGCCACTCCCTCATCAATCACCTCCCAAGGAGACGCCTTCACCAGGAAGACGGAATAAACGTCACTTCGTCACTGGGAACAACAGGAGTTGCGAAACTTTTTAAAGGACGCCTCCTCGCACCTCTGACATCTACTTTTCAGAATGAGCAATTGCGGACGCCTCTCTGAATTCTGATGTCGTCTCAGTGGAGGTCCGCTCGGTCCGTTCAGCCTCCAAGCACCTCGGGCTAGACAAATAAGGTTTGGTCAAGTAGACGAAAAAATTGACCCTCCGCTCGCAGTGAATAAAAAAACATTTAGACAGTCTGCTCAGGATAAATCTACTGTCAAACCCACTGTCGCATCTATAAAAATAAGCGCTACTGTAAAGATGCTTTGTCTCCGCGGCCGATAACAAACAACATGCTTTGAGCACATCAGAATGTGTTTAAAGTAGCGTGAACAAATGTAAGTCTAATACACAACTCTGAGCTGAATGTGTATTTTATAGCTATTGTTTGATTGTGCAAAACTAAAATCCTTCTTGTTTTATCATCCGTGTGGAAAGCATTTAAAGTCTAACAAGGTATCCTGACTGTCCAGATGCGACTGTTAAAGCATATTTTACGCAGATCCAATAAGAACTTCATTTGTGTAATAAAGTGTATTTTTAGTTCAATCTTTCTATTAAAAGAATAAATAAAATTCTGTCCGACCACAGCTTTGAAATTCATGTGGCGTAATCAGTACGGGAGCTGAAAACTCTGCCCGTCTCACACAGGCCCTGCCTTCACACAGTGAGGCCTTCAGCGGTGGGAACCCATGATGAAGCGGCAGAACGCTTCAGTGTCCCGACCAGAGAACAGTGATGGGCTTTGTTTCTGCTTTGGTCCCGTGGGACCCGGTTTGGCTGATGGTAATGGGCTTGTGTCCATATGGGGGGATTCAGGCCATCATCCAACATACAGGGACCCTCCATTAAGAGGACTCTGTCTCAGGCTATGAAGGAAAAAATCAAAAGCAAAAGTTGATCAAGCGCTTGTTTTTTTGAAGAACATAAAAACCACGATGATTAGCTAAAATATTCCCTCAATACAAGATGTGGGAGGATTTCTGCTTTACACACTCTGACCTTTGATTTAACTGTTAACTTGGTCGAGACTTTAACAGCTATTAGATAATTAACAAAACTCTGAACTCACATTCACCGTCTCCAGAGTAGAGTTACAACTAATTACAGGCTAGAACCAGAAATAATTTTACTGTCGATTAAGCTGTTGACTACTTTCAGTTGTTTAGTCTATAAATTGTCAGAAAATGGAAAAAGATGTTGATCAACGTCTCCGAAAGCCCAAGATGTTTTATCCAGATACAGCTGAAACCAGAAGTTTACATACACGACATAAAAAGGTTTTTTTTTTCTTACTGTCTGACATTAAACTGCTAACATCCGCTAAACACCTCCTGGTCAAAATGACAGTACTTCCGATTTTTGACTACGGCGACATACTTTATAGATCCACATCCAAATCCCTCCTCCATAAACTGGACACCATCTACCACACTGCCATCCGTTTTGTCACTGGTGCCCCCTTCATGACTCACCACTGCCCTCTGTACAGTTTACTGGCCCTCTCTTCACTCCCGCAGGCAAACCCATTGGTATTTGTTCATTTATAAAACTATCATAGGTCAAACTCCGGCATACCTACGTTCACTACTCATCACCCGTCACATCAACCATTCACTTCGCAACCTCATCCACCTCCAAAGCCCGCACTGTCTTTGGCCGCGATTCATTTCAGTTTTCTGCAGCTCTCGACTGGAACCAGTTAAAAAAAACAATCAAACTCAGTGTATTTGTATCTGTATCGTCTTTTAAAAATATGGTGAAGCAACTTTTTATCGAATTCTGTATCTGCTTTTAGTGTATTTTATCTTCAAAGACTTCTATTGTCACGTTTTGTTTGTGTATTCTTTTCTTATGGATGTATTGTATTTTCTGCTCTGTGCTGCCTGTTGGCCGGGTCGTTATTGTAAATGAGAACCTGTTCTCAATTAACCTACCTGGTTAAATAAAGGAAAAATAAATAAAATGAAAATAAAATTAAAACTTTTCCTGTTTGTTCCTGTCACAAAAGGAAGCGGTGTGTTTGAGGTGTGCCTTAAAATACATCCACAGGTGTGCCTCCAATTAACTCAGATGTTGTCAATTAACCTATCAGAAGCTTCCAAAGCCATGACATCATCATCTGGGTTTAAGGCATCTTAGTGTATATAAACGTGTATATAAATGTCTGACTTTGAAGAAAGTAGTTTAAAAAAATAAAATAAAATCTCTGTAATTATTCTGGCATTTAGCAAAAATAAATAATTTTGGTAATCCTACCTGATCTAAAAAAAAAAAAAAAGGAAAAGCTTGTTCTGATTTAATGCCAGACAGTGAGAATAAATGTTATGTGTCTTTTTATACAGTGGATGTAAACTTCTGATTTCAGCTGTATATAGTAAAGATATTCATCTTATTGTCACAGAGAAGAAAAAAAAACAGCCAATACTTACATTTGCAGAGCTGGAAGCAGAACATTTTGACAGATGATACTCTCACCAAGTCACTGGTTGTCAATACAGTTGCTGATTAATACAATATTGGCCAACTAATTGATTACAGCTCTGCTCTGGAGCATGATGATGTTGCTTCCACCCCCAGCACTACCACGAGGTTGACATCTGTGGTTTTGACATTTTATGCAGATTATATTTAACTACTAAACTGATTGCAGTGAAATTTGGTTCTAAATTTGGGTGAGGCATCATCTAGTGTCATAAGGTGGGATTTTTATTTCATCCCATTATCAGTTTCTGACTAAATATCTACTAAACAAATGACACTCAGCTGTACTTTTTGTAAAGTGCTAATGAGCAAATGTTGGCATGCTGATTGCAGCTTTTAGCCCAAAGCGCAGCCGTGCCAGAGACAGTTTCAGAGAGCTGCAGACGCTTGTTTAAAAGTGTCTTTAGCCTGCTGTGAGCGATGAAATTCCTGTTACCTCCACCATATTGCGACACGGGCAGAATGTCTGGAGGCAGAACAAATTACACAAAGTTTGCATGTCTAGATACCACCAGCGGTAAATAAGATCATATGCTGTGTAACTTGTTCCGAGATCGCCGCATTACCATTTCCTGCTCCGAAAGGTCCGTTTGTTGAAGTACATAGAGACCGCAGCTGCAGCAGGAGTGGTGCAAACACATACACATGCCTTATTAAGCTTGTCAATCAGCTGCCAATTCACCACAACCCTCAGATCCAGTCGGCCAGCCAGCCGTGCAGGCAGGCAGTCGGTCTGCCGGGCCAGACGAGAGAACAGCTGGCCGCCACTTTCAACTCACTGAGGCTACCTGGCTTGGCATCGACAGCAAGCGACGGGCATATTTCTGCCAAATGCTGCATGTGGCAGGACGGACGGACGGGCCGTACCCGGGGAGAGAGGTGAAGGAAGGGATAAGGCCGCGCAAAACTGCTGCTCCGAAAGGTCAGCCACGACAAACCTGTGGCTGAATGTCCTTAAAAGCCCTGCAATCATCTCTCCATCAATCCAGTGGAGCTGGAGGGATGAGAGGAGAAAGGGTTTAATGGCACTAATAAGGCCCGGAGAGACAGGTGACATCATGCTGTAGGTCGGCCACCCAAAAAAGGGACTTGCGAGAGGGGCAGAATTATTCCGCTGACATTATTCCAATCTGAATCTAACTGTCAAGTAGTCAGAGAGACGGGGCCAAACTGACTGTAATAATATTCGCAGCGGTCCCTGATGTAGCTGGAAGCGTGCGCGAGCTTAATGCGTGTGCTTCCACGTGAAGCGCGCACGCATCTGGGGAGCGAAAGGCAGCGAATCATCAAGCCGTCCGCTCTGTGTGATTTCAGCCCCCTCTGTGATTTCCTCATCACCAGCCAATGTCAGTGTCACCATCAGGTAGAAAGGCAGTGATCACTGGGCTGGACGGAGGTGAAAGCAATCAATAGTTGACCTCAGGGCGGGTGGAGTCGGGGGGAGGAGAAGCGCCATCACAGAGCTCATCATCAGGCTGCATGAATACAGCCCTCTGGGACGCTGCACACGGCGCGAGATTCATTGACATGGACTCGGCGCAGTCAGTCACGCTGTCAGAGCCGCCTGATCCGGCACTGCATCACTCCTCTTTTATATGATGCTATATATTACCCCCTTTTAAGACATTTGCTGTGGCAATCGAGGTTAAGCACAAGGGCTGGAAGGTAAAAAAAAAACCAAAACAACCCAATGGCGACCCTCCTGCAGAGTAAACCCTGACAAGGATCTCCTCGTGTCCCTGTTTGCCTTCTTTTTTTCCCAGCTACAGCGGAACACTGGTCCTGTGATGACAGCTACTAGGACTCTGGGGAGGACAAAACAGTAAAGAGAGCTTGATTTAAGTACTCACAGCTTTTCCAGGGCAGCCAAGCCATAGAAGGAGCCGTTCCTCAGCAGCGAGATCTTGTTGTTGCTCAGGTTTCTGTTTAGGGGCAAAAAGATAGGAAGGAGAGAAGACGACGTGAGCATACAGAACGAGCGGAGGGAGGTTACATTTGTAAATATCACAAAAATAGAGCTGGGGGGAAATGACTTATTCAAATGGCTGATAAATTGTTTATCCTCTGACTGTCAATATGTTGGCAAGAGATAAGGATTTATGTCTGATGAGATTGCGGCTGTAAATTACTCATCCGGGCCACGTTTCTGTCTTGTTTATGGCCGTTTGTGGTTAAGATGGGTAATGATCCAAACCACCCCCCCATCCTCCGCTCCTCCATGTCAAAATATCGGCCTAATAGAAAAGCGTAAAGAAACGCCGGTTCAGCACAATTCAATCATCCATTGCTCACATCACAACAGCAAACAAATCAATGGAATGCACTGCAGGGATCCTTAAGTGATGGATTAATATTCAGAGGAGATGCGGTGCCTTCGTTTTGATTATTTCTGCGACAGCCGTCACTACGGTTCCTTCTTTTTTTTTTGAATGAATGAATGAATGAATGAATTATGTCTGCGCCGAATGTAAAATGAGAAACTATATGTTCTTCAAGTGATGCATTTGTCTGGAAAGAAAAGAAAAGTAGTGCTTGGACGGGACTTCCAGCTGAGTGTATTACTGGCACACACACACACACAATCCTGTCACATTATTCAACACACTGGGCCTTGAGAATTGAGAGTTTCCTCACACCTTAACACAGCAGAGTGAAAACACAAGACAAGAATACATTCAAACATGAACCCGTGAAGTCTTTCCGCTGATAGTGTCTATTCCTTTACCCCGTAATTCCCCACGTGCTTCAACAACACTTAAGTGAACAGCCGCCGTCGCGCTACATCCAAAGCTACATTATGCACCTCGGAAATGAGACTGAGAAAATTTAATAAGGAAGAATAGCAAAACACACACACGGACACGCAGCGCATACGCATCAGGTGTTGTGTTACTGTAGTAAAAAACCCCACAGTGACTAATTAGACCACATGAGGTCTGTGTTACCCACAGCTAAAGTGCAGGAGATGTTTCAGACGAGGGCCCAGGTCTCCTCATGTAGCCGGCTAATAACCATGTTTGCCCAGTAAAACCTGACCAGTCATAAGCACCTCGGAGCCACTTACTGCTGGTTACACAGAGATGCAACAGGACAGGGCGGGTAGTGCAGCCGGCTACATTACAACTGAGAAATGCAGGTTTTTCCCTTGTTGTAATGGCAGGAAGCCGGGTACATATAAAGTAAAAAGCTTTACGTGAGGAACAGAATAAATTTGAAGCGAATAAAATAAAGACATTTTCAGTTCAGTCACAGTCTAGAATATTTTCAGCCTGTTTGAGGCGTTTTGTTTACTTCATGCAAGACATTTCAGTCTGTTTTGAAGTGGGCAGGCCTGATTAAATAAGTAAAATAACTTTGTAGACACAGTTGCCCATAAAGTTGGAATAACTTTTGTTTTCAGACACATTCCATCACTTCTGACCAGGTGCACTGGTTACATAGTGAGTCCCAGTTAGCAGGTGAAACCAATTCAGGATCTGACTGAAGACTGGGACGTCCTGCCCACTGACACCATCAACAAGCTGGTGGACTGAACGCCACCATGTCTTAACATATTGATCTGTGTCAGGGGTGGCTAGACTCAATATGAGTGACTGAGGGACATTTGAAAGAGCAATATTGGACATTCTTATGCATGAAATCCCCTCGAATATGTGTTTCCTGTTGTTGAAAAATTGAAACAAAACCTTTAATCCTATTGTTCAATACCCCCAATTTAGTTTAAGCCTGAATCCACAGTTTGTAAAAGTTAATTGTGGTTTAATGTTTACTCTGATATGTGTTGCATGTATATTGTGATATCAATAAAGTTTTGAGAAGATATGCACTTTATCTATCAAGAATAAATCACATTGTCACAATCATTCCATGAGAAGCAACAGCACGTATAGCATCACTCTGAAGCCAAGTTCTAAGTTTCAATGTGCTTCAAAAAGTAGATAATAAAATACAGGAGATAACATAAGATTAAAAAAACACTAATTTCACAACAAACCTGAGAAACTAATCCTGTTGCAAGGTGGGAGCTTTCTGTATCAAGACAGCTCTACCGAATTTGCTTTCAGTTTGAACATGTTTGGCTGAATTACTCCAATATTACATCTTGCCACTGTGCAGTACTGTAGTACTGTTGTCCCAGGTGAGCTGGTGTGCTTGAGCTGCCATGAGGGCAGGGCGGAGAGAGAGGCAATCTGATGTGCACATGCTAGAAGAAGCACGAGTTACATCTGAGACATTTTTCAGACAGAGCGGGGATTATTTTCAGACAGAAACTTAAATGTCTTACGTTCAGAGATGAGTTTTTAATGGTTCAATCAATGACCAGAGAGGTGCTCATATAAAAATAAAGATGCTTTTCAAACTTAAAAGTTGCACTACTCAGTAATTCCACATCAACAATGGCTACGTGTGAAAAGGGTTTCTTGTAGTTACAAACCCACAAAGGATTATCATCTGACTCTGCAGTTCCCTTCAGTTTACAGAGCGTTTTAGCACCTCTTAACACATTGGCTTTTCCTTTTCTTTTCAGGGTGAGGGTGGGAAGGTTATGACCCATGACTTAACACTGCTTTTATTCAACCTTGCCATTCCCCATCTGCACAGCAGGCACATGTTTCCAGCAAAAATAGCCATTAAAACCCAGCGCATTGAACAACACGAGCCAGTGGGTGGTTCTCTCGTGAGTGGACGAAAAAAAATCTGAAAATTGGGCTTATGGTCATTGTGTAGGAAGTAGAAATACTTACAGTGAATGCTAATGTTGCTCTCTGTCTGCTGGATGTGTTAATAGGAATATATTTGCTCCCACATTTGCATGTTGCTTCTTTAGGCATGAATATGCATCCACTTCAGACATGAAACTAACTTTTTTTCAGGTATTTAATACATTTATTGAAGGCTCAGATTGTAGCGGGTTTTTTTTTTTTTTTTTTTTTAACTCAGCGGTTAAAAATAGTAGACGCTAGATTAGCCGTCATATTGATAAATTCTTGCTTTTTCTGCCCTCACAGACATACAAAGGCGCACACACTCAGTTTTATACAGAGCGACTGACGATATACACTGCGCTTATTCTACTGCCCAGATTCACATCATTTTAAATACACCTTGGATGGCGATTCTGGATTTTATATCTGCTAAAATATTGATTGCTCCAGCCGGCTCCTAAATCATCCGCTGCAGGGCTGCTCTCTCTCTCTCTCTCTCTGTGAGGCTGTGGATTTGTGCACGAGCATGTGATCTGCCGCCTTGAGCTCTCCTTTGCATGTGTGATGTTGCGTATCTCCCGTCAGCACATGACCACCCCCAATCAACACACACACACACACACACACACACACAGACAGACGTGCACGAGGTCAGATCCCTCCATCACCCTCCTCCGCCTCTTCTTTTAACAAGGTGGGTTGTGGGAATGATTGGCCGGGTTTAGAAAGAGAGGGGTAATTGGGATGTGTCACCGGTCTCTGTGACGACAGCGCCTTCGTTATGGCTGCAGGGAACGTATACTCAATTTTAACCCTCGGATTAAGCAGCGGTGTCCCACAATGCATTGTGCTGAACGGGCAAATTGCTGGCCAAACTGCAAAGGGAGCAGAATGGAAGTGTGCACGCTGAAAATGTTGTGCTCAAGACTCACATTGCACATGCAAACGAGCCATAAACTGACAAAAAGAAGTAAATATTTGGTACAACTTTCAGTCATGAGAATGTGTAAAAATTCCTCACAAGAAAACATTTATTCAAAAAAAAGTTCTCGTCCAAATGAAGTGCACATTGGGGCATTTTCTTCTTTAAATTAACAAGCTTGCTTGTACATATTCTCTGGGGGGGAAAGTACCTATTTCTCCCCGGAGTGATAACAGTTGTCTTGGCAGGAAAAGCAGCACTGAAGATAGGAAGTCCCCTCTCAGCAAAAGGCCAGGATGGACGCAAACTTGTGTCAGCAAATTCGTGTCAACACCTACGAGTCTATTTACATTTGGGCCTTCCCCCAAAAGCAAACTTCCAACAATATCACGTCGCTATTATTTTCCAAATTAAACATTTTTACAGAGAACCGGTAGGAATATCAGTCAGGACAGAATCAGTAGGGTCAACAAAAGAGACACAGAATACACACAGGGGACGGATAGATTGTAATAGTTTCGGTCAGACAATGGACTTCTCTCACGCTTCCGTCAGTTACTGCTGCTGTTCCATTGTCACACACTTTGCACTGATAGCATGGGCAGATTTATTACATGAAAACATGCAGTAATTTTTATAAGTAATGATATGGACTACAGTTTTCATACAGAAGTAAACAGGACGCTTTTTATTGTTTTCTAATGTGAAATGACGAGTGTTGGTATAATTAGTGGCTGCTGCTAAAATTGAGTTATTGTTCGTGAAAACGGGCTGCAAGGTGGTTGTCTCTAACATAGACTGTATAAAAGATGGACGTAGCAACCGGCCCTGAAAAATGAAGCCAACCCAGAAGTGTCAAAAACCTGCAATATCACTACGTCCGCTAGCTGCTGGCTCCAAAAAGAGGCGGAGTTTTCAAAACTTCCAGCAGGACTACATCAAGTC